GTGTCCCAGCTTGACACAACCTCTTGAGTAGTGACAGCTCTAGGGGAGAGCCTTACTTCGCTCTCTTAGATAATGACACTTGGAATTCTTTGTTTCCTTGCCGTCTCACACATCTTCTAGAGCTTTAGGTTGGCTTAGACTATTGCTGCTGTTGACTCTCCTCCTGTGGTTGGGACGGTGGAGGCTCTCTCTGGCCTCACGGCTTTTGTTGGGGCGGTGGAGGCTCTCTCTCTGGCCTCAGGGCTTTTGTTGGGGCGGTGGAGGCTCTCTCTCTGGCCTCAGGGCTTTTGTTGGGGCGGTGGAGGCTCTCTCTCTGGCCTCAGGGCTTTTGTTGGGGCGGTGGAGGCTCTCTCTGGCCTCAGGGCTTTTGTTGGGGCGGTGGAGGCTCTCTCTGGCCTCACGGCTTTTGTTGGGGCGGTGGAGGCTCTCTCTCTGGCCTCAGGGCTTTTGTTGGGACGGTGGAAGCTCTCTCTCTGGCCTCAGGGCTTTTGTTGGGGCGGTGGAGGCTCTCTCTCTGGCCTCAGGGCTTTTGTTGGGGCGGTGGAGGCTCTCTCTCTGGCCTCAGGGCTTTTGTTGGGGCGGTGGAGGCTCTCTCTCTGGCCTCACGGCTTTTGTTGGGGCGGTGGAGGCTCTCTCTCTGGCCTCAGGGCTTTTGTTGGGGCGGTGGAGGCTCTCTCTGGCCTCAGGGCTTTTGTTGGGGCGGTGGAGGCTCTCTCTGGCCTCACGGCTTTTGTTGGGGCGGTGGAGGCTCTCTCTCTGGCCTCAGGGCTTTTGTTGGGGCGGTGGAGGCTCTCTCTCTGGCCTCACGGCTTTTGTTGGGGCGGTGGAGGCTCTCTCTCTGGCCTCAGGGCTTTTGTTGGGGCGGTGGAGGCTCTCTCTCTGGCCTCACGGCTTTTGTTGGGGCGGTGGAGGCTCTCTCTCTGGCCTCAGGGCTTTTGTTGGGGCGGTGGAGGCTCTCTCTGGCCTCAGGGCTTTTGTTGGGGCGGTGGAGGCTCTCTCTGGCCTCACGGCTTTTGTTGGGGCGGTGGAGGCTCTCTCTCTGGCCTCACGGCTTTTGTTGGGGCGGTGGAGGCTCTCTCTCTGGCCTCACGGCTTTTGTTGGGGCGGTGGAGGCTCTCTCTCTGGCCTCAGGGCTTTTGTTGGGGCGGTGGAGGCTCTCTCTGGCCTCAGGGCTTTTGTTGGGGCGGTGGAGGCTCTCTCTGGCCTCACGGCTTTTGTTGGGGCGGTGGAGGCTCTCTCTGGCCTCACGGCTTTTGTTGGGACGGTGGAAGCTCTCTCTCTGGCCTCAGGGCTTTTGTTGGGGCGGTGGAGGCTCTCTCTCTGGCCTCACGGCTTTTGTTGGGGCGGTGGAGGCTCTCTCTCTGGCCTCACGGCTTTTGTTGGGGCGGTGGAGGCTCTCTCTCTGGCCTCAAGGCTTTTGTTGGGACGGTGGAGGCTCTCTCTCTGGCCTCAGGGCTTTTGTTGGGACGGTGGAGGCTCTCTCTCTGGCCTCAGGGCTTTTGTTGGGGCGGTGGAGGCTCTCTCTGGCCTCAGGGCTTTTGTTGGGGCGGTGGAGGCTCTCTCTGGCCTCACGGCTTTTGTTGGGGCGGTGGAGGCTCTCTCTGGCCTCAGGGCTTTTGTTGGGGAGGTGGAGGCTCTCTCTCTGGCCTCAAGGCTTTAGTTGGGGCGGTGGAGGCTCTCTCTCTGGCCTCAAGGCTTTTGTTGGAACGGTGGAGGCTCTCTCTCTGGCCTCAAGGCTTTTGTTGGAACGGTGGAGGCTCTCTCTCTGGCCTCAAGGCTTTTGTTGGAACGGTGGAGGCTCTCTCTCTGGCCTCAAGGCTTTTGTTGGAACGGTGGAGGCTCTCTCTCTGGCCTCAAGGCTTTAGTTGGGGCGGTGGAGGCTCTCTCTCTGGCCTCAAGGCTTTTGTTGGAACGGTGGAGGCTCTCTCTCTGGCCTCAAGGCTTTTGTCGGGACGGTGGAGGCTCTCTCTCTGGCCTCAAGGCTTTTGTTGGGACGGTGGAGGCTCCATTCTTTGCTGACCTCTGGTTTTCTTTTAGGTCTTTTATCGTGATTTTCCCTCACAACTGATTTTTGCTATTTACATTTTATCATATTGCAGACTGTTTGAATTCTCCGGAGTCTCACTTTATTATTGTGACCAGTAAGTTCTAATAATAAAGAGACTCGAACTGGTGTGTGGCGGTGTGCCAGTCCGGCGTGAAGACCACTGCGCCAGCTGATGGTGAGTGAACCACAGCCGAGGTGACATTGGCTATTGTGAGAGGGAGAGGAGGAGCTTGAGTAAAATGTACTGGTGGGTTAGGCAGCGAGGGAGGGATAGCGAGTCATGAGGGAGAGGAGGCTAGTCAAGAAGCCATAAGGGGAAGAGTGGGTGGGTAAGTGTTGGGTAAGTCAGTAAGAGACTTCGAGTCGGCCAGTCGTTGACTCGGCGAGTAGCGGGTAAGTCTGGGGCTCCTGCCACAAGAGGTAACGTCTGGGCTAATCTCTAGTGCGTGTCACACACCGCTTTTCCACCTCCTACTTTTCTTTCCGTGATTTCTAACCTATTATCCACCAGGGGCCTGGGTGCCGTATGTCTCTCACCCGTCACCTGGAGGCGGCGTCTCTCACCCGTCACCCCCCCCCCCTCCCATCGCCTTCCGCCAAATTAAACTAATCGCAATACCGTAGAGCCAAGTAAGCATGTACACAAAGCTGAAATTGACCTAGACCTATGTGCCTTATATGACCTATGTGCCTTATATGACCTATGTGCCTTATATGACCTATGTGCCTTATATGACCTATGTGCCTTATATGACCTATGTGCCTTATATGACCTATGTGCCTTATATGTTATCACAGTTATATTGATCCTGACGTTCAGGTTTATTAGGTGAAAAAAACACCTTCCAAGGGCGGAAATTACCAGGATAGAAATACATGGAGTGGAAGGAGGCGGCACAAGACGTGGGGCCAGAGAGTGCCACACACAGTGGGTGCCAGGGGTCAGGGTGGGCTACCTGCAGCAGTGTAATTACTTGGGTGTTGTTAAGGCTATCCTCGTAGTCCATACAAGTTGCAAGAGGCCGTATGACCAGCCTTCCCGGACATAAACTCTAACCTCTCATATTGCCTGCGAGGAACACTATAATGCCGGTGTAACCAAAGATGCCCTTTACAGTGAGCAAGTCTCCCTTTTTCTCTCTCGTTTTTCAACCCATCCTTTCAATCTTGCTTCTTTTTTGCCTTTCTTTCCCCTACGCTTTTCCCGTCTCTGCCTTCTGTTTTTCTGTTCCTTTCTCCCGGCCACCTAGCCCCTCCCACGCCTGTCCTCCGCCGTCCCCTCTCCCCCACCCCACCCCTCCCCACACCCCTGTCTAGGCCTGTGCTAGCTCCAGCAGCGTCTTGGACGGAATGCTCACCTGAGACCCCTTGTTTACCTTTTCATTTACGGGTAATTGTCAGCGGGCGACACGGAAACTCACTCACTCGGCGCTCCTCGGCCCCTGCATAATTGAGGGTCCTCGTAGTGAAGACCAGGACGCTACCAGAACCTGTGGAATGGGCGCAAGGCAATGGGGTAGGAGAGGCCAGATGAGGCTGAGGAATGGGTGGAAAGGGGTGAGGGCAGACTGGCCAGATGAAGCTGTGGAAACGGAGGAAATGGTCGAGGGAGGGGAGGTGCAAATTAGGGCGATAGATCAGGCTTCGGAAGGGGAGACTGGAAGAGGCTGAAAGTGGAGGATGATGGTGGAGAGGGAGATGGAACGGGAAGGAGTAGACGGAGAGGGAAGCTAAGGAAGAAGGGGTCGACCGGACGATGCGAGATGAAGTGACTGAAGGGTAACCGTAGGGGTGGTGAGCCTGGTAGAGGAGTGAAGGGGGGCAGAGGAGATGTGATGAAGGAGGAGGTAATCTTGAGTAGACTGGAGGGGGCCCAACATGGAGACTGGGGAGTGCTGAGAGTGAGATAGTGGTGTAGCGAGACGCTCACAATGCTTAATGACTGGCCCTCTCACGCTGGAGCACAACCAACCCCTCTAGGTGGAGGGCCTGGCAGGGGCGGGGAGGGGAGGACGAGAGGTGTGGGACGTCATCTTAAGGCAGCGAGATGACACTACCTGCAGCATCATACATTGTTATCTTGTAGAGAGATCGTAGCTTGTCTCGCTGGGGAGGCGGGGTTGTGAGGTGGCTGACAGGCGAAGGACAGTTATGTAGCAGGAAGAGCTGTGAGGGGTTTGGGAGGGCGTTGTGACATGCTGGGCATGAGGAGGGGAAGTGTGAGGTGACTGACGGTTGCTTGTGAGGGAGGGAGGGAGGGGAGGGCTTGTAAAGTGGTGTTAACATTGATATTGATTGTCTGTTCCCAGTGTATCAAGGTAACATCACCGTAACCCCAGGAGGCCCTTACACATCTTGTGTTAGTTTTAGTCTAGTTGTGGCAAGGGTTGTTATACGAGTGTGTTATCCGGTGACAGATAACCTCGTTATTACGCCGCCGGACCAGTTATTAGTCCATCACTGCTGATGTCCTCGCCAACGTGTCCACTGTCCTTCCCTCACCGTCACCCAGGATGACGAGCTCAGTGTTTCCGTGGACGGGGGCTGATTGACGTCTGTCTCGTCGCAAGTATTGGCTGCCAGCATGAACACACCGCCGCTCTTGTGCTGGACTTTGCAGGGTGTGCACTCAACACGTTTATCTTACACAACCATCGCATCTGGAAGTAAAGGAAGTGTCGTTGTGCACCCCATTACGCTTTGTCCGTGTCAACATCCCCTTACTCATTGTCGCTGCATATCCTTTACCCTTTGTTCCTGCACTTCCCATAGCATTTGTCGCTGCGTACCCCATACCCTTGGTTGCTGAGCACCCCCTTACCCTTTATCTCGGCTTCTTACCCCACCCCCTTTGCCGCCTCCCCTTTCTTCCTCTTCCACCGCGTCTCCCTTCCCATTTCTACGCCTTCTTCCCTTCTCGTCACCGCTTCCCAAAACCCAATATGGGACCATTTTACTCCCTGGTGCCAGCGACGGGTGTTGCCCCCAGGGGCGGCGACGGGTGTTGCCCCCAGGGGCGGCGACGGGTGTTGCCCCCAGGGGCGGCGACGGGTGTTGCCCCCAGGGGCGGCGACGGGTGTTGCCCCCAGGGGCGGCGACGGGTGTGTTGCCCCCAGGGGCGGCGACGGGTGTGTTGCCCCCAGGGGCGGCGACGGGTGTGTTGCCCCCAGGGGCGGCGACGGGTGTGTTGCCCCCAGGGGCGGCGACGGGTGTGTTGCCCCCAGGGGCGGCGACGGGTGTTGCCCCCAGGGGCGGCGACGGGTGTTGCCCCCAGGGGCGGCGACAGGTGTGTTGCCCCCAGGGGCGGCGACGGGTGTGTTGCCCCCAGGGGCGGCGACGGGTGTGTTGCCCCCAGGGGCGGCGACGGGTGTGTTGCCCCCAGGGGCGGCGACGGGTGTGTTGCCCCCAGGGGCGGCGACGGGTGTGTTGCCCCCAGGGGCGGCGACGGGTGTGTTGCCCCCAGGGGCGGCGACGGGTGTGTTGCCCCCAGGGGCGGCGACGGGTGTGTTGCCCCCAGGGGCGGCGACGGGTGTGTTGCCCCCAGGGGCGGCGACGGGTGTGTTGCCCCCAGGGGCGGCGACGGGTGTGTTGCCCCCAGGGGCGGCGACGGGTGTGTTGCCCCCAGGGGCGGCGGCGGCGTCGTCATCGTCGGTGGCAAGGGTCGGGCGGGAGCGCCATATTCACAATGCAGCGGCGGGTGTGGTGTGTCTCCCACATTATTCACCCAGGCCTCTTGAGGCATAACCGCACCTTTATCTCTGCCTCTCTCTCTCTCTCACTTTATATTCCCGCTCTTTTGGCCCGACGCAGCGCCGGAATGGTGGTGCTCTTTTTGTCATGGTTATTCTCGAGGAACTGGCAATGATATTCTTTACCTTTTTGTGAGTGTGGCTCTCGGGTCCGGCTCTCGGGTCCGGCTCTCGGGTCCGGCTCTCGGGTCCGGCTCTCGGGTCCGGCACTTGGGGTTCGAGTGTGTGTGTGTACCACTACTTACTGGCTCTGTTGATCAGTGTCAGAGCTTCTAATGCTGTGTAATGAGTTGGTCTTCTCTCACGTCTGCGTCAGGCCCATCCCACCTGTTCCTTACTAGCACGCTAAAAAAATTAACCTCAGGGTTAGGCTGTGTTCCTAGTTTTCACCGACGTTTCAATTCCCATCATTTTGGATCAGACTGTCCAGCTTGACTCTGCCCCCTCAGCAGCTTGTAGCTACTGCTAGCTTGTACTACTAGCTTGTAGCTACTGCTAGCTTGTAGCTACTAGCTTGTAGCTACTGCTAGCTTGTAGCTACTGCTAGCTTGTAGCTACTAGCTTGTAGCTACTGCTAGCTTGTAGCTACTGCTAGCTTGTACTACTAGCTTGTAGCTACTGCTAGCTTGTACTACTAGCTTGTAGCTACTGCTAGCTTGTAGCTACTGCTAGCTTGTACTACTAGCTTGTAGCTACTGCTAGCTTGTACTACTAGCTTGTAGCTACTGCTAGCTTGAAGCTACTGCTAGCTTGTTCTACTAGCTTGTAGCTACTGCTAGCTTGAAGCTACTGCTAGCTTGTACTACTAGCTTGTAGCTACTGCTAGCTTGTACTACTAGCTTGTTGCTACTGCTAGCTTGTATTACTAGCTTGTAGCTACTGCTAGCTTGTAGCTACTGCTAGCTTGTAGCTACTGCTAGCTTGTACTACTAGCTTGTAGCTACTGCTAGCTTGAAGCTACTGCTAGCTTGTTCTACTAGCTTGTAGCTACTACTAGCTTGTAGCTACTACTAGCTTGTAGCTACTACTAGCTTGTAGCTACTGCTAGCTTGTACTACTAGCTTGAAGCTACTGCTAGCTTGTACTACTAGCTTGTTGCTACTGCTAGCTTGTATTACTAGCTTGTAGCTACTGCTAGCTTGTAGCTACTGCTAGCTTGTAGCTACTGCTAGCTTGTAGCTACTGCTAGCTTGTAGCTACTGCTAGCTTGTAGCTACTGCTAGCTTGTAGCTACTGCTAGCTTGTACTACTAGCTTGTAGCTACTGCTAGCTTGAAGCTACTGCTAGCTTGTACTACTAGCTTGTTGCTACTGCTAGCTTGTATTACTAGCTTGTAGCTACTGCTAGCTTGTTGCTACTGCTAGCTTGTACTACTAGCTTGTAGCTACTGCTAGCTTGTACTACTAGCTTGTAGCTACTGCTAGCTTGAAGCTACTGCTAGCTTGTTCTACTAGCTTGTAGCTACTACTAGCTTGTAGCTACTACTAGCTTGTAGCTACTGCTAGCTTGAAGCTACTGCTAGCTTGTTCTACTAGCTTGTAGCTACTACTAGCTTGTAGCTACTACTAGCTTGTAGCTACTGCTAGCTTGTACTACTAGCTTGTAGCTACTGCTAGCTTGAAGCTACTGCTAGCTTGTACTACTAGCTTGTAGCTACTACTAGCTTGTAGCTACTACTAGCTTGTAGCTACTGCTAGCTTGAAGCTACTGCTAGCTTGTTCTACTAGCTTGTAGCTACTACTAGCTTGTAGCTACTACTAGCTTGTAGCTACTACTAGCTTGTAGCTACTACTAGCTTGTACTACTAGCTTGTAGCTACTGCTTTCCCTCACGAAGTAGCTTGTACGATGTGTTCCGGCGCCGCCCTTCTCTTCTTCCCTCCGCTGATTGCTGGTGTAGTCTGCCATCGTAGCTCCAGTCTCCGTGTTATGGAGCCAGTCTTGTGGCGCATCTCTCCACTTGTGTGTGTCTTAAGACATGTGGCGTCCATGCAGGTGTATCCCATTTGGATAATCAACTTGCACCCGTTCCCGTCTTACATCACTCCCATTTTAAATAGTCTTACTGTCTACTGTGTCAGTTGCGAAAGTAACTGTGGTTGGTGGTTGCTCCGTCAAGCCCGTTTCGTCTCTCCTTCCATAACGTAGGGCCCTGTTCCTTGGTCTATTCTCGTAGCTCTTGCTTCTGTGGTATGGCTGGCGGCATACCTCTGACCCCCTTCCTCTGGACCACCACTACATTCTCTAATGGGGAAGGGAAGGCAAGGGAATTAGCAGTAGAAAGCGCCAAGCTATTACGACTATTTAGCACTTGGAAGGGGTCAGGATAAGAATTTGTGATGAGACGAGGGGAAGGAATGGTGCCGAACCACTTGGACGGTCGGGGATTGAACGCCGACCTGCATGAAGGGCGCCTATAGGTCTACTGCCCAGCCCACACGGTCTCTAGTTGGAGGTGGAGAACGGCTGCGTGCTGTCTCCATCCACACCGACCTTCACTATGACTTTTCTTGCCTCTCTTCTGGCCAAGGGATACGCGCCAAACTAATAGTGCTCAATTCTCCAGGAACGATACCACGTGTTCCCCTCAAGTTTGACTTTTTTGTTGAGTCGAGCCGAGATTTTAAATGTAATGCGAATACTAGAAAACTATTGTGTATATTGGTTACATGTAAGATTGGACAGTTATAGAAGGCAATCGGTACCTGCTCATTTTCGAGAACTTTGTTTTATACTAAACGATGTAAGGACTCTCTTTACTGGCAGTAACAATATCAATTGTTTCTGACGTTTGTGGTGTTAAAGCGTTCTGTATGTCTTTTGTAAAGCTCTAAATGTGTCTTTTTGTATATATATATATATATATATATATATATATATATATATATATATATATATATATATATATATTATATATATATATATATATATATGACAATGTCAGACCACGGAGGAAAAATGAAACAGGAATTTCCTTAAGTACTTTCGTATATTAATACAATTTTATTTATTTTGTATTAATATACGAAAGTACTTAAGGAAATTCCTGTTTCATTTTTCCTCCATGGTCTGACATTGTCACATTTTTAATCACGTGTTTATTTTCGTGATATACATATATATATATATATATATATATATATATATATATATATATATATATATATATATATATATATATATATATATATATATATATATATATTCCATTTATGCTGCGAATAGTTAGAATGTTTGAGACGGAGGATCGAACCTGCGTTCTCACCTTCAAGAGTGTCACCGTAGGCACACAACTGGCGCTCACAATTACAAACATTATCCATAATGGTTTCAACAAATCCTTATAATTATGACTGGATGAAACAGGTGAACAGAAATGTCAATCAAACTTACATTTTTAGACCTATATTGACTAACATTTGGTTTACAGTGTAAATGGTGGTATAGTGTTAAAACAGTGTGCAGTTCATGTTGTTAATTGTTTTGAGATCAGAAAGGAAGTAGAAAATAAGAAAGGCTAAGAAAGTCGTCTTCCTCCCTCCTGGGAAGACATATTAAATCAGACCGGAAAGATATTTACAAGACCTCGGTCTTGTGCTCGGACCATTTCTCAGATGTTTTATAGCAAGATTAAGGCGAGCTTAACCTTGCTTTTCCTCTCTTCAAAACTCTTGCCAAGAATTCCAAGGAAAATGACACTTGTGGAATAAAAATTGACCCAGTTAAAGCTTTTGTTTATTGTGTGTTGTTGGGAGATATGTCATTGGGTTTATTGTAGTGGTGACTGGGTTTATTGTAGTGGTGACTGGGGTTATTGTAGTGGTGACTGGGTTTATTGGTGTGGTGACTGGGTTTATTGGTGTGGTGACTGGGTTTATTGGTGTGGTGACTGGGTTTATTGGTGTGGTGACTGTGGTTATTGTAGTGGTGACTGGGTTTATTGGTGTGGTGACTGGGTTTATTGGTGTGGTGACTGGGTTTATTGGTGTGGTGACTGGGTTTATTGTAGTGGTGACTGGGTTATTGTAGTGGTGACTGGGTTTATTGGTGTGGTGACTGGGTTTATTGGTGTGGTGACTGGGTTTATTGTAGTGATGACTGGGGTTATTGTAGTGGTGACTGGGGTTATTGGTGTGGTGACTGGGTTTATTGTAGTGGTGACTGGGTTTATTGTAGTGGTGACTGGGTTTATTGGTGTGGTGACTGGGTTTATTGTTGTGGTGACTGGGGTTATTGGTGTGGTGACTGGGTTTATTGGTGTGGTGACTGGGTTTATTGTAGTGGTGACTGGGTTTATTGGTGTGGTGACTGGGTTTATTGGTGTGGTGACTGGGTTTATTGTAGTGATGACTGGGTTTATTGTAGTGGTGACTGGGTTTATTGGTGTGGTGACTGGGTTTATTGGTGTGGTGACTGGGTTTATTGTAGTGGTGACTGGGTTTATTGGTGTGGTGACTGGGTTTATTGTAGTGGTGACTGGGTTTATTGTAGTGGTGACTGGGTTTATTGTTGTGGTGACTGGGTTTATT